CAATTTACTGAACTGGGCCTGGTTTGAACCTTATATGCGGCCCAATGATCTAGGGGAGGGCCTAATATAGATTTATCATTACTAATGCAATTAGCAATGGTTTTAGTCTTCTAGATTCTTCTAGAAGGTTCTTTTCATTCCTAATTCAATTAGCATTGATAAATGGACTTTTGTTGACTTTTTAGAATTTTAATTAGAATCAAAGAACATATTTTGAGGAAAATACGATTTTATCTCCTGTACGGCAATTTTTATCTGATTTTAAGAAAACGCGTGGATTTCTGAGTCAGCGCCAAACGCTAGCTGTAGCGCCTAACGCTATGATAGGCGCCTGGCGCTAGACTTGGCGCCTAGCGCCAATCTTAGCGTCTGGCGCTAAGGTCAGCGTTTGGCGCCAACTCGGTTTTTTGCGTCAGAACTCTGTTTTTGATATTTTATCTTTTGGCTGATTTTCTTTATAAATAACGTCGTAAAAACACCGTTTTGATCATCAACATTCATCCACAATCACCTACAATCATCGATTCTCTCTATTTTCACCAACTCTCATCAAGATTTTCTTGATTACTCTCTCTCTCTATCTTTTCTAAACTAGCTTCTCTCAAATACAAAATTCCGCATTCATTAGATCTAGACACACCAAGCCATATTCGAAGTTGCCTTCGCCTAGACGTGACAGGTTTAATTTCTGAGGGTTTGGTCCCAAAATCTCTCTTTCAATTATTTAATTTAATTATTGTTTTATTTATTATTTTCCTTGAAGTTACTAACGTGTGTATTTTGTTATTAGAAAGAGGTACGAGGCATCAAAGTAAGTGCTTTAATGGTTTTTATTGATATTATTATATTATTATGATATTCCTAGTATCATGTTTAGGGTAAAGAATAAGTTCCTTAAATTAAATATGATTGTTACGATGCCTTTTATGTTCTTCCTAATATTTATGATTGTTAGTATCATGTTAGGGTTAAATATTTGATTTTTATTGCTTAGTGACATGTTAGGGTTTGTTATTAATCTTGTTAGTATCATGCCTAGGATCTTGCTATTACTATGCTTTAACATGATTATCATGATTATTTTTATGATTTATGACTATAATTATTATTTTGTTTATTATTTTTATTATTATGTTGCTTGTTATTCATTGTTATTGCTTGATCACGCCTTTTTATGCATGTTTAAAGGGAATTTGTACTTGTAATCACGCTTAATAAGATAATTAATAATCTTGTTTAGGGTTAATTTGATTATAATTTAAGTGATCGCCAATAATATATTTATTTGTGCATTAATACTCAACCAACATAGATAAACAGGTTTAGGGTTAATCCTATTGCTTGTATGTTAATCAGAAAGCGCACATGAATACGATCAGAATAAAGTAGAGGCCTATTATCAGGGCAGGTTCAATCTCTTTTAGGTTGGATTTGTACCTTCATCCCCGAACCCTATTTGGTTGAAGACCTTATAGAGTTGACGATCTCTTGGATCGTTAAGGGGTGTAACCTTCACCTCGTGAACGGTTTACAAGTTCCTAAAAAACTTGTTGGCGACTCTTTTGCTCTATCTTCTTTCCCTTTGGACGCCACCGTACTTTAGTGTATGATCACAGTGGGGTTCAAGCTAGGGGATTAATGCTTGAAATATTCCCTACAATACTCTCAATAGTTGTGGTCTGAATTCCTTTTTTTGTCTTTTTTGCACGTGATGAAACCATATCTGACAAAAAGGTGGGCTCCACCCCACCCTTTTTTTTACTCTTCTTATATATCTCTTCCATGTACATTTTGTACTTTCTCCGTTTCTTTTTAGTTGCTACATTTTCCTATTTTAGAAATTCTTGCAACATTTTCCAATTTTGACATTTCTTTCTATTATTTTTTCCTCTACCCACATAAGTCCCTTTTATTTTTCTCTCTTTCTCTATCCCCTTAAGAATTTGTCTAGGAGATCATGAAAAAAAGTTTAGCGACTAAAAAAACGAATGAAGTATATAACTTATGTGTGAGACATCGAGAAAATGTAGGATTTAACGGAAAAATTTATGTTAATAATCTCAACTTTAATCGATTCACTTTTAATAATCCCAACTTTGATTATCATCTATTAATCCGAACTTTCATACCTATTTGCTTTTAATGGGCCCTGACAGGTAATAACCAGTTTAATAAGTAAACTTTCCACATGTTCCTCCCTTATTGGTTTAATTTATTTTTTCTTTGAAGTTTTTTCTCTACTCAACCTCCTTTAACTTTTCAACCTCCTTTTCTTCTAGGGCTGTCATGGTGCATCCCTTTCGACCACCACAAATTGCCCACCCTTACTCCTACCCCTACCCCTTCCTTTTCATCTCCTCCTTTTTCCCCATATACACCATAGTCGGAGAAGAGCACACGTACTTTAATCTCTCAACTCTCTTCGTTGTGGACCCTCTAATTATGAGCGTCATTTATGGCGCTCAATAGAGCAATTTTCGATTCCTTTTTCTATAATTTTTCGTTTTATTTTCTTATAATCTTTCTAGTTTTCTCTTATTTTCCGTCTTTATAGCTCATTGTGGTTTTCCGTTCACTTTTATGAGTTTTCCATGATTTTTGTTCTTAATTAGCTAATTTAGTTTAATTTATATTCTTTTTTCTTTCTCTCTTACTTTTATTTGATTTCTTGCAAGTGAAGTTTTGAAATCTTGTTTGCCACTCTCTTACGGATGTTTTCTCTTTGATTTTAGGTTCGGAGTGCGCAAATATTTGAAGATTAAAAGGATGCCCTCCTTCGGGCATCACCTCAAGAGCGTCGACGAGGAGCATGCTTTTGAGCGCTAGAATTAAAGCAAGAGGCCGAATGCACAACCATCACTATGGTGCGTAAGCACAGCAGTGTGCATGACTGACACACCATATGGTGCGCGCGCGCACACCCACTTGTGCGTGCACACCATGGCTCTCCGTCCCTTTTGTTTTTCTTTGCTATATATACTACGACCTGTCTAATTTTGAACAACTTTAGACTATCTTAGAATTTCTCTCTCATATTTTAGCTTAAGTTGAGAGCTTCTCTCTCTAGATCTAGGGTTAGTTTAGGAGTAGTTTTAGAGAGAGAAAGTAAGGGATTTTAATGGTTATTTGAGAGATTGAAGATTCAAGATGACAATTGTATTGAAGATCTCCATTATCAATCAATGAGGATTTCTCACTCTCTCTCCTCTTTATTGCTTTATTTAATTTCATGTTTGTTTGGTTTAATTTTGATGTTTGATTCTTGATTAGTGTAATTGTTCTTGATATTTTGTTGATTCTTGATTTCTTTAGTTGATTGTCGATAGATGATTATTCTTGAGTAGTTGTTTGACTAGGAATTGGGTGACACTTGTATGATTGATTGACTGTGATTAATTTGGGAATTGTGTTGATTGATTGTTGAGATTAAAGTAATTAATGAAGATTTGCATGTGTGTAATACGATTAGGCCTTGAGAATTATGCTAGATTGCATTGTATTGCTAATGACACGACCAATTGATTTAGGAATTGCAATTATTAATTGGTTTGGATTTTGATTCTCTTAGTTTGTTACTCATAGTGAACCCTAGCTTAACGAATAGGAGATAGCTCGTTGATTCAATTAGTAGCTCTTATCATTAGTCTTTACAACCTTTGATTGACATAATATTCCAAAGTTGTTGCAATTGTCATGATTATTTGTTGATCCCCATTCCTAGTGTTTTATTTGTTTGGTTGTTTGTTTAGTTAGTTGTTAGAGTTACCTCTTACCTTCGACTTCGACCTAGCTTAGGCGCATAATTGAGAGTACTTGAACATTACCGTTCCTTTGGGTTTGACCCTTGACTTACCTCTTTACTCGTATTTAGGTTTGCTAAGTGTTTATAAATTTGTTTGGCTCTAAGGAAGAATTGATAACGACCTACATTTTCCCTACGTCAAAATGGCGTCGTTGCCGGGGAATGGTGTCTATGTTTGAGTGATTTTGATTGCTTGAGTCTAGGTCTTCGTATATGCTTTTCTTTTATTTGATTTTTGTTTGTCTTGTAAAAAAAATAAAAAAATAAAAATGGCATGTCTCACATTTCCTCAACATGATAATGAGCCTTTTTGTGAATATTTCCATAAATTTATAGGGTTTTTGAACTATAATCGTTGTAATCCTTGTGAGGCTTGTGAGATTTGTTATTTTGGTTTGAATGAGCAAACTAGGGATGAAGTTAAAAGCATGCATAATGGTGAATTTAGAGCATTGTCAATAGATGATGCTTGGGATTTTTATGTTTGGTTTGCAAGGGATATCTATAATAGGGGTAATCACGATTCTAAAATGTTGATGTGCAATGTATTGATTCTCCTAATGTTAGCATGAATTCCCATGATTTGTCACATGATCATATTAGTGAACCTAGAACAAATGATTTCAAGTCTATTTTCCTCTTTTGCTCATGATGATGAGGTACATACTCCAGTTGACACTTATGGCGTGTTTCAATTTTCTTCATTATTTACCATGCCTTCTTGTGATGTGCTTCGTTCCCTTAATAATGAATCTCATGTGTTTGATTGTGCCCCCACTCCCCAATGTGATGATTATGCTCATGATCTTAATGTTGATTCTTCCAATCATTGTTGCACTTCTTCTTCTTCTTCTCTTATTGAACCTAAACCTTCTAAACCTTTTGAATCTCTTGTTGATATATTTAAGTCTCAAATTAGGCGCATTGAGCTTGATAATGATCTTGGGCCTAGTAAGGAGATGATCCTTACATCTATGAGAGGTCAATTAGAAATAATGAAAAAGAATGAGGAGCGTATTGAGGATAAAAAGAGAAGAAGAGATGAGTTAGAAAGCCAATTGTCATCCTGGATGCTTGTATGTGAAAAACCCTAATCTAATGTGTGTATTGAGGATGATGATGATGATGATTTTGAGCAACCAAGAGAGTGTGAGGATCCTATTGGTGAGCATTTGAGTGTTGGTGAAGGAGTTGACAATGAATAGAGTGTTATCAACTCGGCTCATTAAGGTTCCGAGCCAATCTCAAATTCGTATCGAGCCTTATCAAACCGAGTTTTGACCGAACCGAGCTCAAATAGTTTACGAATAGTCCAGTCTCATTATTACCCCTACTCAAGACCTCTAGTAGCTTACAAGCTAACGAACTAAACTACTAAGGTCAAATAGTGTCATACGACTCATCACCGTTAGCCCGCTACCCGCCTACCCCTGGACCCTAAACCCCCCCCCCCAAAAAAAAAAAAAAAAAAAAAAAAAAAAAAACCACGCTGAACCTAAGCGACAGATTGAATAACGGAAAAAAAAATACGAAGAACAACAACAAAACTTCTCTCTCTTGGATATTTTGAATAAACCTGACGGAAAATTGGAACCAGCACTGCCACCGTCCACCGCACGTCCGGCGTCCCGACGTTCGCACACCCGCACTCCAGGTAAGTTGAATATTGTTTTGCAAGGTTTTAATTTTTTATTCTACACTAGTTGTTGGTTGATTTTGTGGTTAAACTAGGGCCCTAGACAAGGCATAAAAAGGCATAGTGATGTCTACGAAAGCAGGAGCAGCGCCATCTACATATTCTCCTTCAACCCAAAAGAAGAAACCTCAAAAACCCACCTTCAATCACTCTAATGCCGTTCGTTCTGATGGTCGTGGCTTTTACCAGTGTAGACCTGCTTGTAATTACCCTCTCTTTCCTTTTTCTATTCATCAATTATTTCTACTTTATGTTCAATTTCATGTTTTTGATTTTTGGACCTTGGGTTATTCATCGTATTGCATGTTGTGTTTGTTATTCGTTTTGGGTATGAAGTCATACTTGTTTTCTGTCTTTTCTTGCTAATTACTTCTGGGTTTTTGAAGTGAATTTTGTATAATTTTTCTTTTGCATTAGATTGGAGAATTAGACAAATTGGCAAAAATGTTGATTGAAATTTACACAGAAAGTTGGTAAAGAATGCCCCCGATTATGAAATTACTCTTTTATTACTTGAATGCTCATTGCTCAATGAGATATGTTCATCGTATGTACGAGACTAATTGAACCTTCTGCCCTAAAGAACTTTATCATAAGCGAGGGGAAATTTTGCGAAGAATTACCATTTAAATGATGAGTTTTGGAAACAGCTACCATTTGAATTTTTTTATTTGAAACAACTACCACAAAAACAAAAAAAGTTTGAGTAGCACTACCTTGACAACTATTCCGGCGAGAATCTTTAGCCCCACGAATTACACTTTCTCTACTAAAATCCCACCTGAATTGACGCATGTACTCTAGATTGGATATAAAGATTAATTGCCCCCAAAACCCTCAATTTTAGAAATCCCCAATTTCAATTTTTTTCCCCAAAAACCCTAATTTGAAGATTCAATTGAGAAATTATGTCAATTAAAATGGGTAATGAGACATACATTACCTTGACTTGAGTTCGCCTAACAATTTATCTTCTTCTCTTGCTTGGAATTGAAAACAATCAAGATATTAGGGTTTTAAATTTTTCAAACAAAGACAAAAGGGGGCAAACGAAGTTTATCAGTTAAATCTAGAGGAGAGAGAAAGAATTTTAGGAGGGAAAGTGTAATTCGTGGGGCCCACTGTCGGAGATTCTTGCCGGAATAATTGTCAAGGTAGTGCTACTCAAACTTTTTTTTTATTTTTGTGGTAGTTGTTTCAATTTTTTTTTTTTAAATGGTAGTTTCGAAAATCTGTCATTTAAATGGTAGTTATTCGCAAAATTACCTAAGCTGGGGATAGTGAAGTATGAAATTGACATAGGCCTTCGAAATTGTGACTCTGGTTACTTACTCAAATCTTCCTCTTATTTTGCAGACTTGAGGACTGGGGCTGTCAATGCTGCTGGTGGTTCTGCATATGCAGAATTTGGCAACACCAAGGTCATTGTGTCTGTGTAAGTTCTGCATGTAGACAACATTTTCTTTCTAAAATAAGAAACCTCAATATTAGATGTTAGTGTCATCAGTTCCATGTAATCATGTATGTGGTTAAATGTGATTTATGTTTGTTCTCCCCCCCCGGGTAGATATTTTTTTTGTTACATAGTCTGTAAATTGGTCATCATTGCAATGAAGCGACTGGCCAGATATTCAATTATAAATAACTAGTAATTTACATACTATAAAACTTAAAAAAATGGAACTAAGAAAAATAAATTAGTTCTTGGGTTATGAAGAGTTGTAGTAAATAAATAATACTTGTTGTAAGACTGGTAATTACTCTTGCATGGATTTCTTTTTCCTAGTTAAGGAGAGTGGGACTGATGATTCATTGGTTTGTACAATGTATATTGCTATGTTGTTAATCATTAATGGATTTAACTAAATTGGTATGATCATTGGTTTGCAGAAGTTATAATCCTGAAAGCGTAACAGTTTCTGTTGGTCAATACTTGTGTACACTTTTCTGGTTTATACTGCATACTGGCACCAGTCAAGCCTCTGGGTCACCATTAAGGTCTCAGGTCTGTGGATAATGAGCCACAAGGAAATATCCCCAGCCAATAGAACCTCTCCCCAGTCCATGCATTGAGTGGGAGTACTCAGGGTTTGGAGGTGTGGAATCAAAGAACTTCAAGAATCTATAGTAAAAAAAATAATTAGGGAAATTGCTTTTGTTATTGGGACACATAGGAAAGAAAAGTTGACTGGCTACTTGCAAGGAGAAATTAGATGGCAGTGTTGCCTTATTAAGTGTTGAGGGTTTAGAAACATATGAGAAAGGGTTGGTTTATGCTATTTTAGTAGAATCATTCGAACTGGTCACTGTTGGTAATTATTGTGTGCAATGTATTCAGGAGCTAAGTGTATCTATGAGTGCTACTGTAAGTTGGATTTTTGGAGCATGATTTGAGATGATGTGGAGCGCTTCTTCTATGAAAGACATTTAAAGTGTTAAAGCCGGCACAGAGAGTATATTAAAGCTGAGAATTTTACTGTATTAGGAGCTGGTGGAAGTTGGTATATATCATTGATGCTAGATGCTACTGATTAAAATTTAGAAGTGGTTTCTATAATGGAGAGGAAAGTGATTATCTTGTTTTTGACTGAAATAATCTTAAATTCTTTGGAAGTGTAGGTGAAGTATTTCTGTTACGGTGACCAACCTCTATTGCTTGGAATGACTTCAGAATCTTTGCATCAACATGTCTAAGAAATAGGTTGCAAAGATGTTGTGGCATATGTTTTCCATGATTGTTTAGTATGGACTAAAATATAGGATCCTTTTAGATATTTAGAAGAGGTAAATTGTAGTATTAAAGTGCAGGCTACAAGTCGAAGGGAGGATGGAGACTTGGAGAGTAATATGGTGAAGAAGTGAAGAAATGAAAATATCGAAGCATAATAGAGTTTTGAATAGTTTGAAAATTGATGTATTAATGAACACCAAGGATTAAAGTTAAATGTAAATGAAGAATCTTTTTGAACAGGAAAGATTGTTTATTCATTTTGGAGAAAGCCAGGATGCTTCAACTGTTAGAGACAGCCCTTCTCTTTACTGGTTTATTCTTGTTGATTAAATATTTACCAGTTGTGATCTGAGTATATTTGAGCAACATCATTTTGTTCTTTCTATGGCACTTTAGGTTTTCCCACCAGTAGCAGGTAGGAAGCTAAAAAAATTGGCTAGCATCTTGGCTTTCTAGCTTCAACAATTTGCTTTAAAAAATATATGCATATTTCCACTTACAATATTATGAATGTGAAAGTTTTACGCTTAATTTGATACTTAATCTGATAAGGTTTATTTTATGGAACTCCCCCCCTCCCCCCCCCCCCCCCCCCCTTTTTTTTTTTTTTTTTTTTTCTTAGAACATTATATCTTTGCCATTAAAGATTTCATATAGCTGACTTTTGCTAGTGTTATGGGTTGGCTTGGCTTTGCTTCATATACATTATACTATTATAGTGTTACGTGATATTTATAACCTTTACAAGTTATCATAGCTACATTGTCATCATCTGTGATTACAAATTTGTTATAATGTCTAACCTTATGTATACTGTCGATGTACCCCATGCTTTTGATCGATACTGTTGATCTTTTTTTTTTTCTTGTTAGTACCGAGTTCTGGACAATGAAAGACCTAGCCTGCTTTTCTATATTTCTTTTTTTGACTTGAAAAGTGTGCATCTGAGGTTTACATGTGGCTAGGGACTAACGTGCAGGAAGCTACAAGTTTGATTGAATGATTGGTTCACTATATGAGTTATAATTGATTGTGGTTTAAGTAATCCTTTTGGTTAGCTTAGTGTTTGTTCTTGTTGGACAGAATTGTATTATAGCCTTATAAGCCCCTAGAGGGTTGTAACCTTCTTTCAGGTGGGTCTGAACAAGCAGTTTAGGCCATAAAGTTGTCTGATATTTAGAAAAAGGAAATTTCTTCTCTGGAATTTGGGATGCAGCATTCAAATCTGCTTTTGAAGAGTTTTTGAGTTACCCTGAAAATAGGCTAGTTTCTTTCAAGTTCTTGACATCAAAGTTGCAGGAAATTGACTTCCATATATTTGGAGCCATCTTCATCTGTAATATTACAAGTGGCATGCTTATCTTTGGCTTAGAGAATAAAAAGAGACAATGCTGAAGGATTTGATCAACCAATACTTTGACCTCTCTACAGAAACCATTGTCAGCCTTGCTAGACTAGATGTCTTCATTTTAGCACATGTCTTGTGGATATCACCCTTCTATCAGTTCCATTGCAAATAGTCATTCTTGCTGTGATAAAGTTAAAAAAAAAAATTTAGTGTCCAAACTGGGAAAATACTTTCTAGCCATGAACCAAACACGTCCAATTGAAACCTGAGTTTCTACCTCTATCATGGTGACCTACCTATTGATCTAAAAATTTTATCATCTTCCCAGTTGTTTGGAATTTTACCTGGAGTTGATAACTTCATACCAATGCTTTGAGCTCCATTCCAAGACACTATGCTGCCTCTCTTGCTTCCTATATTGCATATTTTATCCAGTGAAAATCCATTTGATGAAGTCTTGCTCAATTTTATCTATTTTCCTAGCTAGGTTAATTGACTACTATCATTAAGTATATAGGCAAACTGGAATTTGATTGAGCTGGGTTCACCCCCTTTTCACATTTAAATTTCTGTGCTGCAAGTTCCTCTCAGAAATTTGGTAATTGAATTGAACCATGTTAGTTTGATTGGAATTTGTTGCTTGTAATCCTATGTTCGCATGGTAAACTTTCTACCTTGTTATCCATTTGTATTATTGGACACATCTCCAGTAGGGAGTTGTGGTTTCCCAGATATAGCCAGAAAAGTTTGAAACGAGAACTGTGGCAACAAGGCCAACAACATTCCAGTGTCCTTCCAATGTTACAGCTTATGAGTTTGAGCTGTTGCATAGACTGCTTCTGAAATCTGAATAACCTGTTGAAAACTTTAACAAATAGTAAGCATATTGTTATTGGTTCGTAAAATTAACATAAATTTCGTTGCAGTACAAGTATTTTAGTAGTAGTAGGTGGCATAGATGTTGTAGCAACAGTGGTTGGAAGTGCTTTATCTTGTATTTTAACCACAGGATTCTCTGTTGGTAACTGCAGTTAATTGATTTTACTTTGGTGTTATTGTTGTCGGAAATTCCATGAGCGTTGGCTACTTAAATGGTTCAAGTATTCTTTCTTGAAATCCAACTAGAGAGTTTTGTGATTTCTTCAGCAAGTCCTTTTACTTTCGTACGCGGGTTTTTTATTTTAATTTCAGACCATTAGTGTCTGTGAACTGTAAGCCTTTGTAGCATACAATTGTTTATGTATTATATATTTGGTGGGTAACAATTTCATGCATTTTTGTTACTTCAGATTTGGACCAAGAGAAAGTAAGAAGGCAATGATGTACAGTAATGTTGGCCGGCTAAATTGCAGTGTCAGCTATACACCTTTTGCTACCCAAATTCGTGGACAGGTACATAATTTTCTTAAGCACCAAATAGGTGATCTATTCTCTTTGTGCTATGTTGTATTGCTCATGAAGTTTTTCTGCATAATGTATGTGCAATTACTCTTTTTAGGGCTCTGAACACAAAGAGTTTTCCTCAGTGCTCCATAAAGCTTTAGAGGGTGCAATATTACTGGAATCATTCCCCAAGACAACCGTTGATGTCTTTGCATTAGTAATGGAATCTGGTGGAAGTAAGTTGCCTGCACATATAATATAAGTTTCTGGATATATGGTAAAAAGCTCAATGTTAACTGAAATGCAATGACATTAAATGATTTTTGGAATGATGGATCTTTTCAGCTAAAATTGTCATTAACTCTTTTTAGCCGTGCTCTGCAATTCTGTTTTGATTGTAAGATAGATGTTTACATGAATCTAGTTCCAGTTACCTTTGGTGATTGTCATATACTCATATGCTGTTTCGGTAGGTGTGGAAAGAGTCAACTCAGTTTCTGTAACAACACTAGGGCATAATTAGATATTTTAAGATACCTATTCTAGATTGGAGTGATGGGGAGAGGATTGAAAGGAACACAATTGTTCCAATGTGTGTTACTTCCTTCGTTTTCTTTTAAATGCATCGTGATGTGCGGAGTTTAGGAGAGTAATCTAATACTGCGAGTGGGTAAACAATTTATTACAGTAAAAGTAAGATGGGGGGACCATGAAAGAAAAAGTATGTGAGAGAGTAGATATTTTTATTATTTAAGTGGGGACCATGGGAGAGAGAAATGATAAAATAAATTAAGTGGGGTTTATAGTAAGAGAAAGAAATGATTAAGTATAGTATAAAATTACCAAATATAGAACTGATGCATTTAAAAAAAAACACTCATAAACAGAAAGTGATGGAGGGAGTAAATCATTTTAAACCCTAATTTGATTGATGTGGATCCTAATATTAAAAGTTGAAACTAATCAAACTCTCACTTCTGATATTTTAATTAGGGTTTTGACTTCTTAAACTACCCCTAATCTAAATAATCAAGTAGTTATCCTGATTCACCCTCAAAATTATTATTAAAGGTTTGTGTATCACTTTTGAAACACAGTAAATTCCACAAAGGAAAATCTCAAGTTATCTGCAAAAAATGAAAATAAAAAGTAATACAATGACCCTTTATATAAGGGTCATTTGGCTAACATAAACCTGAATATAATCAAAATCTTAAATCTTTATTATTTTAAGTTATCTCACAGCCATACCAGTGATGGGTTGGGAAAATGTCACAACTCACAAGGAATTCCAGACATAGGGATTTCCCGACTCTAGCAACCTGTTTTGCTTCATTAGGATAGTTCTACTAGGATCACCGAAAGGGCAATATTGTTTTGATTTGTGTGTCTTTGATGGTTCTCTCCTTACCCTTCCACCCTCTTATATCTATATTCTTTCTTTCTATAAATTTCTCTACCTATGTCAGTTGATTGATCCTTCCAACCAACCTTTTGCTGTTGGGTTCCTTTACCCAGATAATAAATGGGTAATTAACTACCTCTACAATCCTCGAGTACCTGGTTGTGACTTGTCCTGCAGCCATGCTCTATACCTCTTTGTACTATTGTCCCCACCATCTGGTCCATAATGCCATAGCCCTTCCGCTGACCCCTTCACTGCCTGTGCTACCTCTCCCTTGTAGCTGCAACTACTTTACTATACCTGGATCTTTACTAGTATCACTATTGCTGGTCTGTCACTTTTGATAATGGTTTGATGGCAAACTCCACTATCACAAATTTTTACTCCGGGGATTATGTTGGTGGTAGAAATCAGAAACCTTGACAACATATTATAGATCTAAACAGGATATAATTACCAAATTAGTTGATTACTCTCCCCACATCTACCTTATAAATCTTGTAATAAATCTACAATGGGGAAACCTTTTAGTTGATGGAAATGGGTGAGGGGGGAAGGAGGATGTTGGTGGTTGGTGGGGGAGGCCTTCAGAATTTCCTAAGTAATCAAATTATGTGATTATATAATCCCAAACCTTAATCTTCTTGTTTTTCTCTTATCCTTCTGTGAATTCAATGGTCTAGCTAGAAAAATATTCTAATCTTGGGAGCAAAAGTTTGTTCCTTTAAAGATTGCTATCCAAACATTTCCTTTTTTCATTGGTAGTTTCTGGAGGTAGACTTTATGACAGAATAAAAAAAAAAAAAAAAAAAAAAAAAATCTTCCTTAATATTTTATACTTCTGATTTTTAGGTGAGAAAAGGAGAGGGGGGGGGGATTTGGTTGGAATATGTGCTTTCATTTTGAATGATTTAGTAACACATTTACTGTTTACTGCCAACATAAAAGAGAGATTAATTTATGCGTCATTTTACATTACATATTTCGCGTTTGCCCCTTGTTTAGCTTTCATGAACATGTCTCCAGGTGATCTCCCGGTTATCATATCATGTGCCAGTCTTGCTCTAGCTGATGCGGGGATCATGATGTATGATATGGTTGCTGCAGTTTCTCTGGTATGCTTCTCTACCAAAAATAATTTCCTCACTGACTTGCCTTTTGGAATGCAAGAAGAATAATATTGGCCTCTATGTTGAAATCCATTTCCTGCTATCTGTCTATCATCTTTTGTATATATGCTCAAAATTTCTAAATTTAGGAATGAAACTCAATCACTAATTGAATCCATTAATATGGATTTAATGACCAAACCTTTGTTGTGCATTGTCATCTCTGCTTTTGTTGTGTATTGACATCCTGTTTGTTTTTCTTCTTAATACAGCCCTAGCTAGCCTAATCCATCCACATGATGTCATTGTGGTTGATCGGCCTCACAAATATTTCTACCTTGTTGAACACTAAATTCCGGGTTTGCCAAAATCCTTCTGATAGCTTTTGAAAAGTTTAGGAATCCACAATTTCCAATTCCATATCCATCTCTATTTCATGCATGCCTTGGCCATTGTTCTGTGCTCATCTAACTAAGAATTTGGAATTACATGGAAAAAAAAAATTCTTTATACAGACAATCTGATGACCATCTGCCAAACCACCCGGTTTTTTTTTTTTTATTTTTGAAAAAGACCTTAAAGTCATTGGAAATTAAAAAAGAAACTCCCACGGTCCCCTATTGTGTTCTATGGCCCATTTCTCCTAATGTCCAGATCAAACTTTTCCATACAAGAATTCAAAAAATTATGAATAGAAATGCACCTAATACATTAAAGTCAAATCTCAAGAAAATTTTCACATTTATAAGCATAATCAGGCAAGGATATGGTAATCTAAGAACGTCTCTTGCAATTTGGATTTTCCAGATTTTTGTTATAGTTGAGGACTTGAGATATTAGCTATGTTATTCGGACTAGGCTTGCATTGTCCTACATTAGTATGTGTCCAAGTATCAGGCACAACCTTTTATGAAAATTTTGCTTGATTTTGGTCCAATCACAAATTGTATAACTATCATACATTCATACCCTCATCTGATTATTGTCTGAGTCGGGTACTTGAGTTAAAATAACTAAATAAGTAGTCAGCATTCCGTAGGATCAAGAGTAAGGGTTTCATCAAGTGCAACTTCCTACTCCTTGTGTGTTATGCCTTCATAACTCACACGGGATGTATGTTTTGTGTTCCAAAGGTGAAAATAAATTTATCCTCAATTGCAGTATGCAAATGGGAGTCAATATTCTGAGGATGATAGAGTTTGGCTATAGAGGTTGTTTGACATTGATGAACTCAGGTATTAGATTTAAACTTGCTATTGGATTTTATAAGTAGGGGCTTTGGGTTACCCATTCATGTTGGGATCCCTGGGTAGAGATGTTGGAGGTCTGTGGGCGCTATGCATATAAATGTTTTGACGTGGTGAGTGGAATAACTACTGTGTGTGCTCTAAGTTACCATTTGTTGATGAGGCTTGTCGATGCTAGCAATCATATATGATTGTGTCTGGGAGCATAAATATGTATTATGAACTGCTGAAATATTAGGTGAGCTTGAAAGATTTGAGACAACAAGACAATGCCTTATGATTTTGGTAGATTCTCCAATGAAACTTTTTTGCCTCAACTTTGATAACACAGACAGATGTCAAAGAGTGGCGTGATAACTGTGGTCTTTGCAGTCGAATCACGAGAAGAGCTAAAATTACTGTAAGAACAGAATAAATGTTTTTGTAAACTTCTCTAGTATGGTTGTGATTTAATTATTTCAATTTCTTTGTCCTCTTATCTCTAGTGGTTTTCGGGATTATTGTGCAAGCACATAAAGAAAATGTTCCTGTTGCTTAAATGCCAACTATATTGGCTTTCTTCTGTCCAGCTGGTGTAGGAATTTGAGTTTGTTCTCAATTAGATATTGTGCCTCTGCTGGTCAATGCTATTTATTTTCAATGATATTTCTTCATCTATATGAGGTAATGGCACAGGAAAGACTGTAAGGGCTAGGAAACCTCAACAACAAAGAGGGACTCAACCTTCTAGGTTTGTACTACTTCCTAGGTCTCTGAGGTACTTAATGCGACTGAGAGAAAATTTGCAGTTGCTTTGATTAATTTTCTAGTTACCCTGCTTGCATTTAAGGGGTGAGACTGGTTCTATTTAACTTTCCCTCGCACAGATCAGACAATTAGACAGATATGTTGTGCCCATGAGGTATTCATTGATTAAATGTTTTGACATCACTTGGCAGATTTTGTATAGTTTGAGAAGCTATGTTAGGAAGGTCTTAAAGTGAAGTTCTTTATGCATAGTCAGATTCTTTATAATCTCTCTGTCAGCAATGCTTTTGGGCGCACATTTAGGTGAAGTTCTATTATGCGCCACCTGCCATTGATGGAGAGTAAAAAAATTTAAGTGCTAGCTTTATTGTTTTGGATGGGGGATATGTTCCTGCCATATCTCAAAGGAGCTCACATACCCATGTTCATTTTATTCCAAGCTCTTGATAAAGCTTCTGTAAAGTCCTGCTGCTCCTTCAACTAGTAATAAAACTCGTAACTGATTCCCAATTGCAATAGCACCTCCAATTTTGATTAGAGTTGTTCGCCTTGAATCAATGTAATATCAAAATCAAGTTAAAAAAAATGAATGAACAGAATAATGCCTCACTTAACATGATACACCAAGGCACCACAATTGATAAATCACATTATTATGATTGAACGAAATCAATTTACAGAGAATCAAAGAACAAGCAATTATTGCAAAGACAAAAAAGTTGCTAAGTCAGAGGAACTCAACTAAGCAATTTACCGAATTTTGCGAAGAAGTAACTTTTGCCTCTCCAAGTTTTTGATTCTCTTGGATTAGTAGTATTGGTGTATTTGGGAATTATAACGTTTTGCACAATCTGCAGAAAATGAGTTGTATTATTTGAAATTTAGGTTTCCTCAAGTATTCTTATGATATTATCTCACTTTTGTAGTCATCTCTTGGGCCAAATCTCATCATTGATCCTCTTCTAGAGGAGGAATGCTGCCAAGATGGAAGCTTAATGTTTACCTACATGCCTTCTCGTTCTGAGGTCACACAGTTGGCTATTACTGGAGAATGGACAACCCCAAAGATTCATGAGGTATAACAGAGTTTTATTTTTGGGATATCGTCTTTCCATTTGTGTATATTGATGTCTCATTACTGAATCTATATCTGTTGCCTTGTAAATTTTTGGACGTACTGTCAGTGTTAAGCTTGAATCAAACCAGATCATTAGCCTGAACTTGACATTTCCTGTTAGCTGTTCCCTCTAATTCTCATGTTTTGTCCGTTTATCATCTGTTTTTACTCTATGAATTAACTGCTCTTCATAACTCATAAAGCACTTGGAAGCGATTCTATGAAGTTTGAGTTGCTACATATCTGATACTGCCAGTAGTTGAACAATACCAGTAATTACTGTGTTGGCTGTTCTCACTAATTGTCTGTTCAGGTTATTTCAAGTATGCTGTTAGTGTAGTGAAATGTGAATTTACGAAGTCCTAATTTTTCAAATTTGAACCAGGGAATGGAGCTCTGTGTAGATGCCTCTAAGAAGCTTGCTGATATCATGAGATCGTGCCTGAAAGAAGCTGATTCTCCTTCGAATGAGTAATTTGAAACATTTGCATGTTATCACACCCCCCCCCCCCCCCCAATTATTTTTCAGCAAAAAAAACTTTCTTTTCCATTCAGATATTTCTTCTACCCAAACCATGAACTTTTTTTTTTTTCGTCTTGATGGTAGGAATTTCACTGTAGGATTTTCCCCAATTTTGTCATACTATCTATTCCTCTGTATATACCATACTTTCAACTGGTTTATTTTTAAGGAAAAATTGACATTTATAACCGGCCAAAGCATTATGTATCAGATTTACTACCCATTTTAAAAAATATTTTATATTACTAACACCCAAAATCACATAATTAAAATATCACTACTACCTAACGAAATCCGTTAAGGTTCTGTTAAGTTTAATTAAAATAAAAAAAAAATTTCAAAAAAAATTAACCCAACCACCCTCCCCTCAACTGCCACCCCTTCTCTCCCCCCTACCGGTGGCCGGCGCCCAGAGCTTCGGCCGACGCTGGCGCGAACCCACTCCCCCACCCCTATGCAGCCACTGAACCCCCCTTTTCTCGCTGCCCCGACCCCCACCCCGAATTGAATTACTTCCAGTAATTCAATTAATTTCGGCGTTTTCGACCTCGGTTCCTAGCACTGAAGTGTCAAAAATGGATCGAAGAGCCATTGAAGTGATTTGATAGAAGATTTTGATTGAAATTAAATCACAATTGAAGCAATTAGGGTTTTGAAAAGGGGGGAAATTTTTGTGCGGCGATGTGATTTACGGTTGACGAAGATGGAGTCCAAACATTATATTGCATCAATGGGGGCATTCATCTTGTATCAATAGCAGCAACGTGTATTCAGCTTCAATTGATGGTGGTGCGGGGCTGCTAGTGGAGCGAAGCTTCTTCCGGTGGTGCTCGCTGAAGTGTTGCGGTGGGGGTTGAAGTGTGGGCTGAGCTTGGTGATGTTGGAGAGAGTAGGGGATCGGAGTTGTGGTGGTTCGGCGTTGTGGGTGACGGTGTGAATGGAGGGGTCAGGCAACAAGTTACGGGAAAAGGGAGGGGGTTGGTTGTGCAGGTGGGGGAAAAGGAGGGGGTGGGGTCGTGCCAGCGCAGACAGAGGAGAGGGGGTGGCAGTTGAGGGGACGGGTGGCAGTGAAGTGGAGGGGTGGCCGCAAGGTGGTTGAACGGTGGCTAAACCCAACTAACGAAAACAGTAACGGTCGTAGTCTTTGGTAGTGAAATATATATATTTTAGGGATTTGTGTGGTAGCGAAATAAAATATTTTTTTAAATGGGTAGTAAATCTGATACAGGGTGCTTTCGGTGGTAGTAAATATCAATTTTTCCTATTTTTAATTAACAACTACGAAAAATAGAGAAGATTACTCCGTTCGTTTTTAAATACTTGCTCCATTTGTCTTGGACACGCATACCGATGCTAATCTTAGATCACTAATATCTTTAATTACCAATAAGTATAAATTCTAACAATTGAAAATTAATAATCTATTAATTGAGATGATTCCAACAAGTACCTTTAATGTAGGCGTCGTTCGAAGTGCTCCTACATTAAAGCATGTGTGAATATGCTTGGCACTCATAGAAAGTGGGAATTGACATAATACGATTAGGGACAAGGAAAGTAGGGAGCCGCCAACAAGTTTTTGAGAAACTTGTAAACCGTTCACAGATCATAAAAGGCAACCACGATAAAGGGACAACAATAGGCAACAACGATCGTCCCGTGAAGGTTACACCCCATTCATAATCCATGAGATTACTAACTCCATATGGTTCGGAACCACGAAAGGAGGATCGGGGATGATGGTACGAAGTGAGTCATGGAGTCACATTCGCCCGTATTGGCCTCTACTCGATTCTTATAATGAAAAGTGATTCTTGCGATCTCAAAGGCATACAAACAAAATATTCAATTCGCTCCAAACTATTATTAAGCTAAATTGGTTGAATATTAATGCAACATATTATTCTAAAATATTTGTGATCACTTGATTAAACAACAAGATTAAAAAGGATCCTAAACCGGTTGTCCAAATTATCTTATTAAGCGTGATTTTCAATTACATATTCCCTTAAACATGCAATATGGTGATCAATAAAAAATAACAGAATAAACATTAATATTGGAAGCAATTTTACAATAAATCCAACAATGTAAAATCGTTAGAAAAATAATAGAAATAAAAAGAACATAATTCTTACTTAGATTCTGTTTGTTTGCAACTACAAAATAATAAACGAGTTAGTAACTTCAAGGAAATGATAATAAAACAATAATTAAATTAAATTAAATAAAGTAGGGTTGATTTGGGACCAAACCCTCAAACAGTTCTACCTTTCACGCCTTGGCTTAAGGACAGAACCACGAGTAAAGTATGGACTCCTTAGAGTGCTTGAAGAAGGAATTTTGAAATAAGAAGGGTAGGCTAGTGTTTAGGCTAGAGCATAGAAGAGAGAAAAAACAAGAGAATTAATTGATGCCCCGTACATCAGAAATGAGGGGGTATTTATAGAGAAAATGTGCTGAGGGAACACGCGGAACCCTAAATGATAAAAACCCTAAACAAGTATCCCGCGACACGACAAACTGTACCGTGACACGGGAAAACCCACCGTCAAACGGGAAACATTCCCGTGACACGATGCAGTTTTAGTGTGACGCGGGAAATTTTTAGTAAACGGGGAAGAAAACGCGTTAAGGGTTTACGCGGAAAGGACACGGAAATTCCCGTTTCACAGCAGGTTTCCCGTGTCATGGGAAATCCCACCGTCAGACGGGAATGATTCCCGTGACACGGTGGGTACTTGCCGTGGCGCGGGAATTTTCAGCCCGCTTTTCCGTCTAAATACATTTTTAACCCTAATTTCGTTCAGCATTTTAAGTACCGATTGATAATTTCGGGCTTTTTTCTAATTTATTATTATTTGGGCTAAAATAAGAAAATAAGCAAATAAAATAAATAAAAGGTTTGGGCCAAAAATAAATAATAAACAATAAAATAAAAAAGGTTTGGGCTGAAATTAAATAATAAATTTGGGCTGAAATTAAAACTATGCTTTTACCAAACATCAAGACTAATCCGTGGACTTTTCAAAAATACTAATTTAATCAAATACGATTTTTTAAGCACTCTTGGGATTAAATACTGAACCCGACCAATAGTGGCGGTGAAAGGTTGCTCATCATCGGGTTTGGTTTTGGGGAGACATTTTTAGGTGTCTACAGAAGCCCCCACTTTGACTGAGTTTGTAGAAACGCCAGTTTTGAAAACGATAGTCAAAGTAGTCGATAGGTACGGAGAATGATTTAAGACGTTATGCGATCCTAAATCACTCTGTATACGCCGATACCTGTAGAAAAATGTTAGTTCTACAGATAAAAGAGTAAAAGGATAGAATACGTATCTGGCACCAGTGTATCGGTGACAAATGAGTTTGGCAGCTTCCTATGCTTGAAGGAATCCACCGGATAACGTTCGTTGAAACGCTTTCCATGCCTGAGGAAAGCCGACCGAGGAGTTTGATAGTTTTCTAAGCCTGAAGAAACCTACCAGACGATACTTTCCATGCTTGAAGAAAGTCGACATATGATTTTGGCGTTTTTCTATGCTTGAAGAAATCCACCGATAATGCTTTCCATGCTTGAGGAAAGCCGACAAAGGAATTTGGCGGTTTTCTATACTTGAAGAAAAATCCACCGATAACGCTTTCTAAGTTTGAGGAAAGCCGACGACTACTGTAATCGCTGAAATTTGCAAGTGTATGATGGTTTGATTATCCCCGAATGTGGGCCGTAGATGATTCACACCTTCAAGTCGATTATCCGACCATATTAGGTGCTTAAAATATCGACAAAATTACTTTAATGCTTCTAGGGGCAAAATAGTAATTTTGGTACCCTCCAACCGTCAGTTAGAATTTTCCGCGTAATTTTACCGAAAAATTAACTGTCCAATTTGCGTGGAAAATCGTGCAGCTTTGGTAAAAAATACCAGAAATATTCGCTGCTAGCTTCGAAAAATGTGCAAAATAACATCCTGAACCCCGTGCCACGTGGACACATCCCGCGACACGGTAGTGTTTTGCCGTCAGACGGGAGCAATTCCCGTGTCGCGGAAATTTTTGGAACAAAAAAAAAAATTTCACGCACTTCTTTTCACACGCCTGAACAGCGTTGCTTAATAACGGAAAATGTGGAACAGTTACGGGGTCATGCAACGATTACTTTTGGCTTTAAATATCAACCATTTCTCCCATTTTGCTCATTCACCATTTCTTGTCCTGTTTTCACCCAAATTTTTTTCCATTTTAACTGCTCGGATTCCCGTGTCTCGGCGGCGGCTCACCGACGCTCGGAGTTAGTTCCCGTCAGACAGAGTTCTCCTCCGTGGCGCGGCGGTGCTGCTGGTTCGTATTCCCATTTCTTTTTTTTTTCTTCGCTGAGATTTTGTTGCTGCTCGCTGCTATTGCTACCGCTGCTCATTGCCGTGCTGCTGTTGCTGTTTAACGGAGCTCCGGCAACCCTGGGACTCACCGTGACACGGGAGTTTGTCCCCGTGACACGTTTACTGATCACCGCGCCGCGGCGTTTCCTGATCGTGTCGCGGCGGCTGCTCTGATCTTCACGGTTTTTCGATTCTCTACAAGGATCTATGTAAGTTTCCCTTGATTTTGCTTCGAATTTGCTTCAAATGAGTAATTTCATGAAAAACCCTTAAAAATCAATTTGGGGATTTTTTTTTTGATTTTGAGGTTTATGTTGAAATTCTTGCTATGAATTTTCTTGCACATGTATGTATGCGTGTTTGTGAGCGATTTGAGACAAAAATTCCATGATTTGTTGAAGAATTGAGCAAAATCATCATTTTTGGTACTACTTGTGGTAAATGGTGTTCCTTATTGTTCATGTTGTTTCTTTTGCACTTGAAATGATGACATGTTAGTTGTAGATCCTGTAAAATATGCTATGATGCGTCGATATATTGTTTTTTGTGCAATTTTGAGACATGCTTTGTATTGTGTATGTACTACATTGTCATGGAGAACATAGTATCATGCAATTAGGAGAACATAGTATTAGTTCGTCATGGAGAAACTAAATACTATAAATAATTCCATTATTTTGCCAATTTTTAGCCTTGAGGTAAAAATTTAGCGTATAATGCGATAAATAACTAAATAACTTAGGAAGTGATGCTAAGCATTTAGATTTTTTATTAAAATGCAACTCAAACTAAATGTCTTAGGAA